CATACTACTCCACACCAAGAAATCATGCAGAACGATGTTACAGGTGATTTTGGTAAGGTGTATTTGGCTGATGGTTCACCCTTGGATGTTTTGGGTATGGGAAACATCCGAATAGTATTGTCCAATGGGTCTGTTTGGTTACTGGAAAAAGTTTGACATATTCTTGACCTGTGGACGAATCTGATTTCTATTGGACAACTTGATGATGAATGACATGCTATACTGTTTGTTGGTGGCACTTGGAAGATCACAAAGGGAGCCAGATTATTGGGTCGTGGAAAGAAGAATGGTACTCTATATATGACCTCAAGTCTAAGAAACACAATTGCAGTCGCTGAAGCAAGTACTGACACAAGCTTATGGCACCGCAGACTTGGTTACATGAGTGAGAAAGGGATGAAGATGCTGTTGTCAAAGGGAAAACTACAAGAATTAAAGTCTGTTGATTTTGACGTGTGAAAGCTGCATCTTAGGAAAGCAGAAAAATNTTGATTAGCTCTTAATTGTAATCCAGCAATGATTGTGGTGTATTGGTGTGAATATTTGTACGTAACATATGACCCTTCAAATGCATTGGACTCTTTGACTTCTTGTGGCCCTTCATATGCATTGAGCTCTATAACTTCTAGCAGATTTGGGTATTTGCATATACATTTGAATAGTCATGATGTTATTCCCTTTTTTTTAAGTAATNTTTAAGAAGTGGAAGGCTATGGTTGAGACAGAAACATGTTTGAAAGTAAAATGTTTGAGGTCAGACAATGGAGGAGAGTACATAGATGGAGGGTTCAGTGAGTATTGTGCTGCACATGGATTCAAGATGGAGAAAGCCATTTCTGGGACACCACAGCAAAATGGTGTGGTTGAGCGCATGAATAGAACTCTCAATGAGCGTGCTAAGAGTATGAGGTTGCATGCTGGACTACCAAAAACTTTATGGGTTGATGCTGTTAGTACTGCAGCTTACTTGATAAACCGAGGACCCTCAGTTCCCATGGAGTTAAAACTAGTATGACTAAGATGAATGATTATGAGGCCTATAATATGCAATATTATACTCTCGTCAAGGAATTTCGAATGGGATATAAGATCCCAGAGTTCCATCTCTTCTCTGGCGAAGAAAATCAATCTACAATAGAACACGTAGGAAATTTCACTTTCCAATATGGGGAAGTCATAAATAATGACAATTTAAAATTAATTTATTTCCACAGTTACTAACAAGAATAGCCTTTGCTTGGTTCATAAATTTGTCTGCTAATTCAATCCAAACGTGGCAAGAGATGGAAAAGTAATTTCATGCTCAGTTCTTCATAAATGAAGCATAAATATCAATGGCAGATTTGTCAAGACTAAAGCATAGATCGAATAAATCTGCAGAATAGTACAACAATAGATTCAAGAAGGATAGAAACGAATGTCATATTTACTTGCCTGTAGTGGAGTTAGTAAAGTTGGCCAAGAATGGTTTAGACTTCGAATTAAGAAAAAAATTTAAAGGAATAGAGTTCAGAATAGTTAGAACTACTAGATATGAAATGTTATTTAGAAAAGAGCAATAGAAAAAAAATAGTTCATTAGAAACTTATTTTCAAGACTTCGATAGAGACATTAAGATAGATGTGCCACAAATCGTAGGGAAGACAACAATCATGTGTGATACCCTAAAAAAGATTAAAGACCCTCCAGACATCCTTTTAAAAAGAATGCACCTCCAACCTCCAGGTTGTATTCATTTAACTTGTCGATGGCTAGTGCTCTCTTTGACGAGATGATCAACAAAAAATTCTTAATTCTGTCTCAGGGATATAGTATCCCACTAGAAAAAAAATAGAAAAGAAAAAGAATACTACAAATGACATAATTCATTTAGATACTCGACGAAAAAATTGAATCACCTTTAGAAATCGTGTGTGAGACTTAATCCAAAAAAGTATGCTTAAATATGCCATAAAAGATGAAATAAAACCATAGGAGTAGATAAAGATCATTTTTCCAAAGAAGTAAATATTAATATGGTTTCTGTTAATGTGTAGTGGACAAAAAGGTTGCTAGTTTGTTGGTTGGTAGAGAAAACAATAGGCTTAGTCCTAGAGAGGAGGAGTCACTGATTATGTGCTTCAAATGTGCTAAAGAAATAGTCAAACCAGATGCAATACCACTTGACCATATGGTAAGATAATTCACTGACAATGAGCTTCAATTCAGCACCAAAGGTGAAAGGATGTGCAGATCTACAATGGCTAGGAAAAGATATTCCATGATGCAAACCTAGACATCTTTTAGATAAAGGAAAGATACCAATTTGGTCCCCATTATTTCCCTGACACTAAGAGGGATACAAGGGGCATTAATTACCAAGGTCAAGCCAAGGGAGAGAAAATACAAGGAATGGACCACTATGTTAGACCATCAATAGCCAAAGAAATTGTTTGGTAGAAGATCAAAAGGCATGAATGCCAATAGCAAAAGACCCAAAATAGGAAAGAAAGATTTGAAGACATCACAAAAGCTGGGTCTAGAACAATGAATCCCCCAAAGGTTCATGATGAAAAATGGCACCATGTTCAACACCCAACGTTTCTGTCTAGGACATGGTACTAGCCACTCAACAAAACTTAGAATAGGAGAGAGCAAAGGAAGTTTGTCACCTGAATGAGTAGGCAAAATCCTACTCCACTTGAGGCCTACTTAGGGCCAAGTCCATCGATGGGAAACAAAAACCCCACTTGGACAAGGAAGCAACAAAACAAGATTAAAAAGGTCTAAATTAAACAAAACTTCCTAGATCAGAAGATTGTTGAATTTAAATATATATTGTATCCATCTGAAGGAGACATAGAGAATGTGTCAGTAGATTCATCAACAAAAGGAAAAGAGAAGACGAAAGAAAATAAGGCATGTTTTTAGATGAAGAAGCAGATGGACTTTGAGGATATAAAGTCCTTCCTCAGAGATAATGCAGTATGCAATATGAGATTGGCTCAGCCTAAAGCATTTAAGGCTAAGCCTAGACAACCAAGTCAATTGGCAGGAGATATGGAAGACAACATTGAGTCAGTAACAGTGTTTGCAAAAACTGTGAAATAGTTTGGACCTGATGAAAGGTCGTATAACCATAGAGTAAGAAGGCCAAAGTTTTCTTCAAAAAGCTCACAACCCTTACCCTACATGATCCATGACAATACCACCCGCTCCAACTTAAAAAAAATAATAGCGGGAGTATGACACATTTTATACTTAAAAATGGTGTCGAGGGGACCCACTTCCTCATATTTGGATTATGTTAACAATAATAATGATATGTGCACCATCTCATCTACAACATTTGATGTGGTATAATCTCAACTATCAAATATTCAATAAATTTAATGAGACCTATTAATCTAATAGTTCATATTGAGATGATGTATAAAGGTGGTACAGAAAAATGGTGAATATATCATTGATCTCAAACCTATTTTTCTTGTATAACAAAAAATCGTTAATCAAGTGTCTTTAAATTTATGTTTACAATGTAAAATTCAAATTCTCAAACCACTTGCAATAGTTAAATATGGAGTTTATGCGACTTTATAGTGTTTTCATTTAAAAGTTAAAATATTAAGCAACGGGCAATACGTCTTAAATTGGTAATTTCCCTACAAAAACATATATATGCATTTCATTGCCTTTTTAATGATTACATTGAAAATTTATAACGTTTGAATGCTTAAAAGTGAATTTTGAAGCGTCGAAGCATTAGCCATCTAGATAGAGTAGAATGATAAGGGCCTTCGCTAGTCAAGAAAAAAAAAAGTTGGATGTTTTCTAGTTAGTTAGAAAGGGGACTTGGCTAGACAAACTCGTCAAATAGTAAAAGACCGGTCAATCCTTTGAGTATATTTACTCCTCTTTTAACTACAGAGAATTGAGAAAATATGCAGCGGGAAGCGATGGATCATGTGCGGGCTTGATCCTGCACGATATATAAAATATTGGGAACAGATCTCTCCCCCGGTGAACTTTGGGTGAGCCGATTGAGTGGCCAAACACACTGCTCGAAACAGCTTACGATCCTGGGAAAGGAGGAACGATCCTGTACGTGTGAAAGGTATTTCCTGGAACAAAGGAGAACAAGTTAGAAGGGCGCCGGAGTGTTTTCCGGCGTATCCCCTCCGACGGTCTAGTCAGTCTTTGAATGAGAGAGAGGAAGGAGAAAACACTGAGAAGGATATTTCGTAGTATAGAGTTTGTGATTTCATACCCGTTTGCCTTTTTGGGAGGGGTATTTATACCTTAGAAGCTCATGATTGCTGTCAGTGTGGTCAGTAGGTGATCATCAGGCACTGGTAGCGTGTGTATTGATTTGATGAGGAATGTCTTCTCTAATTGACTGCTCGGGGTCCCGAGCAATCAATGTTGAGTCGTCGGGACGCCGACGGTACAATATGCTCCTTTCGGGAAGGATGTAATAAATGCTCCGTAATAGGAGCATTTATTGCCTTTCATATCCGAACCTTACCGCATTGAATGCGGTCTCGTCAACAGAAGGGTGCAATTAATTGTTTGCTTCCCAAAGCGCATGTCAGCAATAGCGTGCGGTTTGCCTGTTTTTGATGTGATATCATATGCCACGCGTCCGTCACGTATTGGCTATGACTTCTGTACTCTAGCATGTTCTGACATTACTTGTGTAAGACGAGGTCATGATGAATAGTCTAGACTGGCATAGGCTGATGTCCCGTACGTCAGTAACTTTATCCGGGAGTAGAGGAAGCGTCCAGGATGGAGTGACCCTCGGCGCCGAGGAAAGGCTCACCTCGGGGGACCAAGGGGTGGTGTGTTCCCGAGGTACATGGTGACCGAGGACACATGTCATTGTGTACTGTACCGAATATGTGATCTTATATGAGAGGTACCTCGGGGGAGAGGACGTTTTTGCCGATGGTGCTTGAACCCGAGCAACATTGTTCTAGAAACCCCCGAGGACACGTGTCTTCATCATAGACTTTTTTCAGAAGAGTCCCATCAGATCAGTACCAGCACCGACTCGACTCCTCCTGAGTTCGCGGGGAAAAACGCCTACGACCTCCTAGGGGTGTCCGAGACCAGCTCATTCGCCGAGATCAAGGCTTCTTTTCGTAAATTGGCCAAAGAAACCCACCCCGACCTCGCTCAATCGCCCAATGATTCCTCTACTTCCAATCAGTTCGCAGCTTACGAGGTTTGTTCTTGTGTTGAGTATCGCATTCTGTTTTTGCTGCTCAGTNTAGCTGATGTTGGAACAAGTCAGATGCAATCCAAAGGTATTGATCATCAGGCATCTGATGCATATAAAGATCTACAATTGCAGATAGCAGGGCAGGTTGTTGCTACAGCCATTAGAGTCCCACCTAGGAGTTATTGTGATGGGTTACAGAGAGAAGATTCTCACGATCACATACATGTGTATCTCAGCTCAAATGCAGTGTCTGTGAGTCAGGGGTCTCTAAGATATTCCTTTGTGGGTGATGCAGTTGGATCTTGGATCCCACTAGGAGCAATAACTGGATTAGGGACGAGCCCTGACGAAGGATCTTGCTTTGTCTACAATAACAGGGGTGTTAAAACCCATGTGATTATAAAGCACATNTTAATCCGAGTATAATGACCGAGTTTATCAATGCGTCTATTCTGTAATGTGCATTCACAATGCCTTACTATTTAAATGTCGTAGTCTAAACATTTTTTCTTTTTTTACATTTATCCATCAAATTGTTGCTCTGAATTTATTAGTGCAGGATGAACATGAAAGTGAATCGTGACATTGGCTTCCTGCTTATCAGCTTTGAATACCCTAGGATTGGTGATTGACATGTTATACCTGATTTGGGAAAAAAAAAAACTAGGATAACTTACAAGTAAATTAGTTATGGAATGAGTTGAGATTTATTCTCTTATACATGTAGAGATGTTGACTTCAATCTGTAACTTATGCTTAATAATCGTTCCTTAGTAGTAGATATTGCTAAATTGAACTTTTTTGAAGGTTCTAGACCATATGATATAATGTATATGGTATGTATAGTATTCGGAAGCAAATTTTAACAGGTTGGTTTGCTTTAAACATACAAGGGAAGCCTTGACTATAGTTATCAGTTATGAAATGCAGATATTATCAGATTCTGAGAAGAGGGCGCTTTATGATCGTTATCTTTTGTCTCAAAGAACACTTGTTCAAAGACATTCCAGACAAGGTACACTAGTGTACAAATATGAATTTCATAGAGCAACAGTGAAGCAGATGGAAGTTGTTGAGTGGTTGAGATGGTATAGATGTGCCATAAATGACATTTTGTCAGAGAAAAGGGTGGTAATTGCCTCAGGCTATTTTGATGTACTGGAAAGGGATTTCTATTCAGCCATACATGCTGCGTACTATGGCCCTGAGATTGAGTCCTTAGATCTTCTTCCCGACCGTTTTGAAGCTGAGGAGAGGTCTATATCTGAAACTCCTGAGGTGCTGCATTTGGTTTCAGGTCGAGACCTTTTTGGAATGGTATGCATAGCAGCCAAGGTTCCTGAATTATCACATGTATTTAAGGGAAAACTTGTGTCTTTTACATCTGTGGGTTCAGACTCGTACCATTCTGTTGATAATGAGGACACTCGAATGAACTCTGGCATAGCTGATGTTGGAACAAGTCAGATGCAATCCAAAGGTATTGATCATCAGGCATCTGATGCATATAAAGATCTACAATTGCAGATAGCAGGGCAGGTTGTTGCTACAGCCATTAGAGTCCCGCCTAGGAGTTATTGTGATGGGTTACAGAGAGAAGATTCTCACGATCACATACATGTGTATCTCAGCTCAAATGCAGTGTCTGTGAGTCAGGGGTCTCTAAGAGATTCCTTTGTGGGTGATGCAGTTGGATCTTGGATCCCACTAGGAGCAATAACTGGATTAGGGACAAGCCCTGACGAAGGATCTTGCTTTGTCTACAATAAGGGGTGTTAAAACCCATGTGATTATAATGCACAGAACGTTGCTGGTGTGTTTACTTGCTCCTTTTAAATTTCTGCTCTTTTGTATTTTATTCTTGTTAAATTCAAAATGGTATTCCTATTCCAAAAATATACCTTATTGTATTATTTTCAGTCTGACCTTTGCATTACTGTAAGTATGATTGTTTTCCAAAAGGTGCATATGAAAAATCTTGTGTAGCATTTGTTGGCATATCTTAAAGACCCATTCATGGGTTGAACTTGAATTCAAGAATGTAAACTTGTAACGTAATACAATCTTCAACAAGAAGCCACTAGCCATGCTTCTCTAATGGAACTGTTTTGTCCCCTTTGTAGGGAGAAGTGGGATGCTTTGTTCATTTCTGAAGAAATTGCTTGGATCAACCATGCTTTTCACTCTTGCCAACCTCTCAAAGTTACCCTTGAAGTACTTCTCCCCCCAAACCTTAGCCTGTGCATAGCTTGTGTTCCCCACCTGGTTCGAACTGAGGTCGAGATCCTTATAGTTCAGGTATGCAGCCCTAGGAGATTGAGAAACATAAGGGGCCATGTATTCATACAGGTCCTTCATCCACTTTTGATGTCTTGAATATGTGGTTGCGTTGTTATTGTACCATTTCACCAAGTACTGTATGTTGTACAAAGTGCCCTTCCTGTGGGGAAATGGCAGTGCAGACTTTGAAATGTTGTCCATCTGCCCACCAAAAGGATCAATTATCATGTATACCTGAGTGTCTTCTTCCAAAAATTTCTCCCATATACCTTCCAAACCTTCTGGTGAAATCGGGGTCGTCACAAAGTCTGATTTCCCCTTGTAACTTGACCTGTAAATGTCAGTTCTGTTCAATAAAACCATGTCCAAGGTGTTCTCCGTCTCGTCGCCGCCTCCAAGCCGGAATGCTGCCGCATGGACCCATGTCATTTCTTGGAGGTCCTCTTGCTTCACTCCCAACTCAGGAAACGTCTTGTTTAGTAATGGAATTAGATCCCATTTGCTTCCAAGAAAGAGCGACTCAAACTGAACTTTGATTGTCTTATCCTTAATCACCTTATTTTCATCAAGAGTCTTTTTTGTTGCCACCAAGCCTCTGATGAAGAGATCTTTGGGTAGTTTATGTGCAATACGTTGCCACTTATATACTAATTTCGTAACGTTTTCGATTCCAAACACACCAATATTAAAATATGTCACTGTGGCTGGAATTTGAACCAGCTTTAGCTTCCAGGAAAGTATGACTCCGAAGCTTGCCCCTCCACCTCCTCTTATGGCCCAAAACAAGTCCTCGCCCATTGTCTTTCGGTCAAGAATTCGTCCATTGACATCAACTATGCTAGCATCTATAACATTATCCGCTGCAAGGCCAAACTTTCTTAGCAGAACGCCAAGTCCTCCACCGCTAATGTGTCCACCAGTGCCTACACTAGGGCATAACCCTCCAGGAAAAGCAAGGGTATTCGTTCTGGTGCCAATATTGTAGTAAAGTTCTCCAAGAGTTGCCCCAGTCTGAACCCACGCAGTTTGTTCTTCCACATTGATGTCAATGGATCGCATATTGACCAGGTCGATGATGATGAAAGGTGTCTTGCTGAGGTATGATTGGCCTTCGTAGTCATGGCCGCCACTCTTGACTCTGATTTGCAGGCCAAGTTGCCTGCTGCAAAGTACAGCCGCCTGGATTTGACTCTCATTGTTGGGCATTAAGATAAGGGTAGGTTTTGGCAACGGCACTGTGGAGTTTACCCATCGGGTGTTTTGCTGGGCAGCGTCGTACCGAGATTTGTACGTCGGCGAGTCCGGAGTGAAGATGTTTTCCGTGGGGTGGGGTTTGCCAGTTAAATGCTCGGACATGCACTGACCAAAGTCTTCATGAATAGATGCTGCATAACAACTTACCCATGAAACTGATAGCAAAAACAAAGAAACAAGTGCAAAGGTAACACCCATTTCTTATCTCCCCTCGTGCTTACAGGATTACAGGTTCTGTCCTGTAACTAGGATAGGGAGAGGGAGAGGGAGAGGGAGAGATTGTGTGGCAAACAGGATTAGAGGTTTTATCCTGCAACGACAGAGAGAAGAGCCAAATGGCAACTAGTATATATAATTAAAGCTTGGGCTATTTATAATAGAGTTATTTGGGTCTGTAATCTGAATATGGCATATGATAGGCTTTGAATTCCTTTCCGTGCCCCTAATTTATGAGGTCCTATATTTTAGAATTTGAAAATTCCTTGTCCTCACAATGGACCGAAGTTCCAGCATGCCAAACCAATTCCATTAGTCCCTTCTGTCTAGATAAATGATTTTTTTTGTCTAAAGATAAACATCAAGCTGTCTATTGAAGATTCATATGAAGCTCTCTCTCTCTCTCTCTCTCTCTCTCTCTCTCTCTCACACACACACACACTCTATCATCATCATTATCATTTTGGAATCATCGACTCCATTACTAAATTCGCCTACAATGGTGAAACCAAAGAAGAAGAAATTGGTGAATGATTAGGCTTGGAAGAGGAGGGAAAATCGAAAAAGGCCGAGGCCCGGGCAGGGGCGGGGGCGATGATCGTAACATGCATGAAACTCACAAAATAACACGTAAAGTATATATTTAGGTAGTCACATGAAATAAAACAAGGCANAATGATTAGGCTTGGAAGAGGAGGGAAAATCGAAAAAGGCCGAGGCCCGGGCAGGGGCGGGGGCGATGATCGTAACATGCATGAAACTCACAAAATAAGACGTAAAGTATACATTTAGGTAGTCACATGAAATAAAACAAGGCGAGGTTTCAAGCAGAAGATTCAATACATGACATCAGAGACAATGGTGTCGATCATTCAAATTCCTAGCAGTGCCTAAAAAAAGTTGGAATAAAATGGATCAGAGTCGCCTAAAGAAAGAAAACATGTTAGCCGCATATGTTACATTTGGGCAATTGATTCTCTCCCAATCTCTAGCAAGAACAATATGAATTAAAAAGGAGTGAAAAAGAAAAGAAAAACCTTCATCGTCATCTTAATTTCCCAAGCTATCCAAGAAGCTTTGTAACTCCTTCAAACCCTCGGCAGATATGCTCCTCTGTACTCTCCCACGGGGTACAACCAAGTTAGGGGGTGCTTGAGGTTGGAAGCAAACAACCACCACTGATAAATTGTCTCCACTCTTTCTCTTCAAAGCTTCATCAACCAGATCCCTGCTACACATCACCGGGTCATTGTGCTCCAGAAGCCTTCTCCGAGCAAAGTCCACAGCATTTTGGCTCATAAAGACATCCCAGATCCCATCGCAGCCTATAATGAGGAACTCATCCTCTTCAGTTAGTCTTGCNCAAGAAGCTTTGCAACTCCTTCAAACCCTCGGCAGATATGCTCCTCTGTACTCTCCCACGGGGTACAACCAAGTTAGGGGGTGCTTGAGGTTGGAAGCAAACAACCACCACTGATAAATTGTCTCCACTCTTTCTCTTCAAAGCTTCATCAACCAGATCCCTGCTACACATCACCGGGTCGTTGTGCTCCAGAAGCCTTCTCCGAGCAAAGTCCACAGCATTTTGGTTCATAAAGACATCCCAGATCCCATCGCAGCCTATAATGAGGAACTCATCCTCTTCAGTTAGTCTTGTGCTCATAAATTCGGGCTCTGCACTAAGGGGCCCTCCATCCCTACTCTTCAATCCATCCATGTGCCAGTCTCCCAAAGCACGAGCAACATTAAGCTGTCCATTGAGATAACCATCACAAACATACCCACCAGAAGCTTCGATGCGCTTCCTTTCTTTGGAGCAAACTGGTTTGTGATCCCTCGACATCTCAATAGCTTTACCTCGGCGACACAGTACTGCTCGACAATCTCCAGCATTTGCCACCACCAATGAACTGCCATCAGATGCAAAGATCAATAAGACATGAATGCATACTTAAACAGGTATGCTACACTAATAAGGATATGGTACTCATTTATAAACTTGTTCGATATGCCAAAATTANCACTAAGGGGCCCTCCATCCCTACTCTTCAATCCATCCATGTGCCAGTCTCCCAAAGCACGAGCAACATTAAGCTGTCCATTGAGATAACCATCACAAACATACCCACCAGAAGCTTCGATGCGCTTCCTTTCTTTGGAGCAAACTGGTTTGTGATCCCTCGACATCTCAATAGCTTTACCTCGGCGACACAGTACAGCTCGACAATCTCCAGCATTTGCCACCACCAATGAACTGCCATCAGATGCAAAGATCAATAAGACATGAATGCATACTTAAACAGGTATACTACACTAATAAGGATATGGTACTCATTTATAAACTTGTTCGATATGCCAAAATTGTTGCCAAAGCTGCTGTCGGACTGTATGACAAGATGTCTAGGTGAAATTAACTGATAGCACATTTCTAAAATGTCGACGTCATGCAATACTTGGTGCTGGCCACCATGTGAAGGAAGATGGGAATCATGTCCATCATCCAAGTTCCAAGGAACTACCTACAGTTTGCAGATTTCTAGATTCAGACAAGAAGTGCCCACTCATACATAACTTTTTCTATCACAATAAATTTATGGGTTTGCAAACATCATACATGTAAAAGCAGGTGCATGTACTGTACCCTGCTCCTTCCCTCATCTTTTCCTAGCCCACTTCGTTCCATTAATTCTATGTCAGAATTGTTCTTTAAAGTGCCAAGTGCATATTGTAGCACAAAAAAAAAAAATGCACACACCATGTCATGTTGCCCACATTGTAAATGACTATACCAGTGAAAGAATCAGTTCAAAATACAACCAAAGAAAGGGACCTGCTACTTCAGCCCTTATTTTGCTTATCCTCGTCAATGGTAAATTGCCATATCCAAAAGACTAAACAAAAATGGTTGGATTTGAGAGAGACAATAAAGATAAATCTAAAGAGAGAATCAGAAAAGTATGCAAAAAGCTCTCTTGTTAATACAGTCTATTCTCAGCCTTGTACTTTCTGACAGCCCTTCATTTCCCTGAACCTTCAAGATCCACAGGTGGGCCTTCCTTTGACTCTTTTCTACACCAAATATCCAACAAATGAAGAGAGAAACAACAGAAATCTATAATCATCTTTTGATCCATGAAAAATTACTTAATGACCCATGTTAAGACTTTTTGTCAAGAAAATGCCAAGAAAAAGAACAATCAATCTATGGTCAGCGGATTATGAGGCAAATCAAGATCTAAACGTAGAAATTAGCTCTATGTAAAGAGATCCAGGGGTCACAAAACATTCAGGACTGGGTCTGAAATAAGGATCAAATTATTTTTTTGAAACGGCGGAAACGTTCCCATTACCATGAAGCCCAAACAAATTGGTGATTAAATTGAAATTTCAATGCTTAGAGATGTTTCCAACAATATTTTAAAATGTTTCAAAGTGTTTCAAGATATTTCGGTATATTTTGACCAATTGAAAATAAATTTTCAAAATTTTTATTCATTTTTAATATAGGTGGCTGAAACAATGCACTAAAATGAAAATTTTGATCATTGGTCTAAAAAAAACACTAACCACTAATTTGTATAATGATATAATCCCATTAATGTTGTCATAATACTACAAGTGGAATATAACAGCAGCAATTTATACAGACATTTGTAAATATTGCCCCTCCCCCCAAAAAAAAAAAAAAAAACTTGAAACTAGAACAGTCTCGCATCACATACTTGGCAAAGATACATGAGTGTAACGCCAAATAACCACGTGATCAAGCAAATCAACACAACATATTAAAACCGACAATCACATCATACTGATACTTATGTCGATAACATGGGCCGAGGATCATCATGATACTGAAGTAAGCCACTAAGTAGTAATAGTTCTACTGTGTGACGATGGACTCAAAAAAACAATTGTAGTTAATAAATGAACCGTAAAATTGAAAAAAAAAAAAAAAAGGAGGGGGTGGGGGGGGGATAATATGCTCAATACGTAAAGAGTGTAATGGCGTCCAAATAAAATGTCAAGGAGTGATAACCAAAATAGGGAGCAAAGACAGCCGATTCCCGAATAAAATTATACAAGTCGGTCAACAATTGACAATAGTTTGCTACACTTAATACATGACAGAAAATAGTCAAGTCTTACCAGCACTCATAATCTACTATCATTGAATTTTGCTACAAAATTATGACCATTTGATCTCAAAACTTTCCGACAGTAATGTGAATTCAATATTTCTGCAAGGGACGACCTAAAAATAGGGAGCCAATGCATACATGAAATCATTGTCATCGGAGCATATTTCTAATTTATTTATATGTATAAACAAAAAAAAAATAGAAAATTTTCTTCTTTTTATTCATTGTGTTTATGGAGGATGATTTTTTATTTTTTTGTGTATGTTTTTTAGCCTATGCATGTGTTTACATGAATTTTATGCAAAAAAATATTCTTGAATTTACTACATTAAAAAGCCATGAGAAGGTCTAACTAAAATAGCAATAGTTCATCCAATACATAAAAAAGTAACAATATACAATATTTATACCAAATGATGTCATATTTCAAACAATTTTCATTCAACTAAGTTTTTTCATTCAAGTAAATACATTTATGAAAGCATTGATCATTTATTTTTACATTGTTCCATTCCTTTGACTTCGGGGTTTAAGCTTTTTAGATTGGTGGGAATGAAATGAGTGATTCTAGCGTCATCAACATCTTTGTTTGTGGAAGATTTGAAAGGCCTTGGTAGATATGATAAAGGAGAAACTCTTTGGAATTGTACTATAATGGATACGTTTTGGTCATTTGAAAGGAAAAAAATGCAAGAATTTTTTAGGATCAAGAAAATTGCTTGAAAGGATTATGGGTTCGTATTCACTTCTTATCATCTTTTTGGGCCTCGATCACGAAGGAGTTTAAAAGGGTTCCACTTTTTTCTAAGTAAATGGGATGGAGAGAATCAAGTGATTTATAGGCTTCCATTGTTTTTGTTCTATTTCTCTTTTATTTTCTTTTGGTTGGATTCCTTATCCAATCTCTTTGATGTGCCCTTCTTTTATGTTTATGTTGCAATAAAGGTTTGTTTCCTATCAAAAAAAAAAAAATATACATGTGAAAACTAAATGCAAACTACACAACCTTTAGGCTTTAGGTATAAACACGTAAACATATTTTGGAAGGAAAATGAGGCAAAAGAACAACTAAAGCTAAGGAATTGTTGACAACTATTGATAGAGACGAGTGGCAACAACTTGATAAAGTTTAGAAAAGGCAAGAAAAAGATTATTTCAAGGCTCAAACTTTGATTTGACACATGTTGGATGATGTGGAATCTACTTGGGAGCTTGCATAAGCCTAATTGAGTCTTATTTTTAGTTGCTTTGAGTTAGTTTGAAAATATTAGTGTTTTACATGGACTTTTTTTTAGTGAGTGGTATTTTTGTAATTTTTAGATTTATTGGACCAGGTCTTAGACTGACCATGGATTATCTTTTGGATCACATTCTAGTGTTCGAAGTTCTAGAATTTAGAGTCGTAGTTCCAAGTTATGTTTGTTTCCTAATTTTAAATAATTCAGAATTTTTGGAGTCCAAGCTTCTTTGGGAAATACATGCACCTCTATATGACATAGCTATATAGTATTTTCACTAATAGAAAGAGATAGTTATAAAAAATTGCAGCAATTATGTGCTTTTGAGTTGTGTGATACAATTCTAACCCTAGGTGTNGTTTCCTAATTTTAAATAATTCAGAATTTTTGGAGTCCAAGCTTCTTTGGGAAATACGTGCACCTCTATATAACATAGCTATATAGTATTTTCACTAATAGAAAGAGATAGTTTTAAAAAATTGCAGCAATTATGTGCTTTTGAGTTGTGTGATACAATTCTAACCCTAGGTGTGATACCCTAGGAGTTTTTTTCTTAGTCAAATTTACTATTAACCTCACTATTCACAGCCTTTTACTGTTCACATGTAGTTCGCAGCCCATAAATGTTGTTGATTCGCTGCTTGTCCTACATCAACTATTTTTTTTCTTGGGGAAACAAAACTTTCATTTAATAGAACTAAACAAATGTACATAACTGATGGATTAGAAATCCACCCAAAATAGCANTCATTTAATAGAACTAAACAAATGTACATAACTGATGGATTAGAAATCCACCCAAAAATAGCAAAAATAAAAATTATNAAATGTACATAACTGATGGATTAGAAATCCACCCAAAATAGCAAAAATAAAAATTTAGATAATCCAAAAAAAATATCAACTACAAACAGATTTCCAATTGTGAGTAGCACAAAATTCCATTAGATACCGCCGCCCAAAGAGCTGCCAAAAACTTTACTCTTTCCCGTAGCAACTCTCTCTCCTTCGCTTTGCCTTCAAAAAATCCATGGTTCCTCTCCATAGGATTTTTGACGACTATTATACTCATGTACAATTGACTAGTAATTAAATTATCATGATGTCAAAAACAAGAGAATCCTGAAATATTAGATAGAATAGAAGGGAAACAGGCAAAAAGGTTTCTGGTTCATGAAACATTTCAACTTGTACCAGAATGAAAGATTAAATACACAAAATGGAGCATATTCTACTGCCATAATTGTAATTGCAACTATTTGGTGTCAGATATCAACTTAACCAATAGAGGATGTGAGTCTTTGACAAACAAAATAAACACTACTGCCGGAAAAATAAAAATAAATATATGCAACGAAAAAACTTTTCTCGGGCAAAAAACACATACAAATAAACCCTAATGAATGGGCCAAGAGATTGTCATTTCAGATTCCAAAAGCAGGGATATGACTTATAATGGATGTTAAACGAAAGGACTGGAAGACACTAACCTCCCAATGACTAGAGCTGCCAATACTGTGGTACCCGAAGCAAGGTCAGCATCCAAGGAGCATGCTTCAGCAAAAGCAGTGTCTGTTTGCAGAAATGCTGAAGCAATAACCCTCTCAATCTCCCTCGGGAAGTCTTTATCCTCAACAATAATCCTTGGCAAATGGTGGCACACAAAGTCAGCTGCATGCTTTCCTCCGTGGCCATCAAAAACCTAGCCAAACAAAGATTGCGTTAAAAAGTAAGGCGCACATAATTAGAATAATAAAGATAGATGCAAGAGACGTCAAACAACTGTTCCCATTGTCTATCCCAATTTCTGCACCCACATACCAGGCAGGCAGACTACACAAAATTTGACCAGTAACTAAGGCATTAAGTAGATAGCATTTAACACTACTAAAATTTCTCAGGTTCTGGAGCATAAACAAAAAAAAAAAAAAAACTTCAAGGTAACTTCAGAAAGGTTGAATATTGTTTCTTTGTCCAAAAGATATAAGCAAATATAGAGTTCTGTTAATATCTTATACTCCTACCTTCAATTGTTCTAAACTGTTTAACCATCTAAAATCTAAAAATAATTGAAACATCTGATAAACATAAAAGGTGGCTGAATAAATCATTCAAGAGCTAATAACTTAATTCTAAATCAAACTACCCAGTAGTCATACAGTGTACATCCTGTAGAAATTTCAACCCCATTACATACCGAACTACTACAATTAAATTGGTTTTTATAGTAATCATAACGTCGTTAAATAATGTGAATACTAATGCCATCAATTTCAGCAAGAAAGATTAAAGAGTTGTCTCATCAGGAAGTTTAAACGGAATAACAAAGGAAATTGCCAAGTTAAAGCAAGTATGAAGGTCGCAAGTTTTGGAAAGATAATTTGTGCCTAAACAATACAGAATGACCACCCTAAAAAGTGAAAAGAATAAAGAATGGAGAATAAGGTAAAGGAAACCTAAAAGTGGTCAAGAATAAAGAATAAAGGACAGGGAAAAAAATTGGCAAACAAGAGGAAAGAATAAATAAAAAGAAAAATAAAGTCGAACAAGCCCAAAAACAAGTGTTGGGCCTAATATCTCTGCTTTGATTCCAGAAACTGGGACGATTCCTGACCTGCGTGGTATCTGCCAAATAAATTATTCTTAAAACAGCATCAAAAAGAGAGCTCTTTGTTAAATGCATTTTTGGCGCACATATTCTGATTCAAAAAACCAAAAAAAAAAAAACTACACCCAAAGAGATTTCATGCTTGATAGCAGTGAGTTGTAGCCTTGCCTAAGATAATGTCAAGGATTATGTTACGTACAAACCAACCGTGTTGACCCAGTACCTAGAACAATAATGCCCTTCCTAAAGGTACTTTTTGCTTGATCGTATGCCAGTTTGTCAAGGGGATTTAAGATTTACACGCTTCTCTTTAGTGGTTAGTTCATGGATTCCAAGATCAATCTAATATGGAGGCCAGACAACTTGGCTAATAGATGAGCTAGGCTAGAAGTTTTGTTTCAATTAGAGCAGGATAAGCTGAGGGTCTTTTTTATTTGGGAGCCATTTTAATGCACAATTTATTTCTGTTTTTCCTTTTTCCAGCTTTAGTTATTGTATGATCTCTTATCCTCCAACCCTTGTACTTCTCTATTTCTTCCTACAGCACCGACAAACATTGGTTGGGCATACAAGACCCCCGAAAAATTCTAAAAAAATCATGAAAAATCCATATATATATTTCCCTTCCTCTTTTCTAAATATATAGAGTTTTGATTAATTTCAAAATACTCCCACTAACTCACGTGTACTCTCTAATTACATGATAACCATCACATTTCAATTATTTTGGGACTCCTCAAATATCAATTCAGATACCCACTCTAGATCAGCCTTTATTTCTTAATAATTTGATTTATTAAAAAAAATGAAACACCTCCTCCAATCAAAATCTATCATGTATCCTTTATAATTAGCCCTTAACTCCATTGATTGTGTAATTAATAGAGTGAAAGAAAAAAAAAATGAAGAAAAAAATTTAAAATGGATATATGATTTACAACACTGCTAGTTTTACATATTTTAAATAACATCATCCATGCATTATATGTGCAAAATACATCATCTAGCTTATTTAATATAGGGTTAAAGAAACATAAGGGTGTTACAGGAAATATGAATATCATCACGCGTGTCAAATGAAAGCATTTCAAAGTATAATGAGCTATAACCATTGTCACGTATGAGATCGAAATTATTATTGTTGTTTCTAATATTATTATACAAATTGGATAAATAATTTTCACTATAAGGATAAGAATATCAATATGAAACTACCAACCCAAAATGGTGTTATAAATATATTATTAGAAAGCATATTTTTTGAGCAGGAACAACAAAATATATTTCTATAATCTATTTTAGCACCAAAAATAAACTCTACCTACCCAAACTTATTTAACAATACTTATCCCCCAAAAAACACTTACCTGAGATAATGAGTTAGCAAAAACACAAACAAAATTATGCATTTAACGCAGAAGACTAATAGACTTTGACTAATTGAACATGTATTCCTTGTTTTTACGTCTTTACATTTAAGAGAGAGAGAGAGAGAACCCCAGGAAAGTACCATTGAGGATGCGATTAGAGGTCCATTGGGTGGCTGTCACCCGACTGTGACTAATTCACAAAGAAAGAAGAAGAAGAGGTGACCCTAACAGTTATTCTTTAACAATTTTACAGATTTATCTCACAAAATCTATTTATTCGTTCTTCTGTTTAAATATTTTCTAAACAGGTCTAATTTAGAGTTGAATAAATGATTGATTGCATCTAATTTCCGCGATTTAGGGCTAAAAATTACGTCTTCTCTCTTTGCATTTTTCTTTGGCCTTTTGTTGTCGGAGATTTTGTTGGATTTGTTGTCAGAGATTTTGTTGGATGATTTGCCCCATCTTGGTTTGATTCGGTAACGACTCGTCCAAGTCAAATTGATTCGACTCCTAGTTCTACCGATTCTTCCCAGTCAATGCCGACTCAAGTCATTATCAGATTTGTGGTAGCCGAGTCAAATATGATTCGACCAATACTTCAAACTCTACTAAGAATAAAAACCTTTCAAATGGATAACAGATCAATACTATATTCTATGATATGGGCACATCAACCAAGGCTCCAAGCAATTCTTCTTGTGGAAAATCCTTGTAATTATAGCTTTAATCCTTACTACATGAACCGAAGAAAACTTCACCAATTATAAAAGCAAAGCTCCTTCTAAAAAGAAAAATGAAATGATTAAACAAAAAAACTATTGAAACCATTTGTACTTTCAGCTCTCAAGAGCTTAGGGTCTTCTCTTACAATGACAAAGGCCTTCACAATATTTGCTTCTATATTGTGCAGCTGGTCCTTTGCCATGGTTAACTTCTTCATTGTTTTCTTGGAAAAACATATCCCCTAATGTCGATTGAGTACGATTGAGTACAATTTTTTCGTCACACTTTGCTCTATCTTGTCACATCATTGCCTTAAACGTAAAACCTTGTAGCCCAGCACGATTACAAATTTTCATTTTTTGGACCACAAAAGTGTACATTTTGAAAGACTTACCCAATAATGCATTGATTAAGATTCTACAAGCATAATATGAACTATCAATCTAATTAAAATCTTAGACAATCCAAAACTAGGACTACCAGTATTGTGCTTCAATTTACAATAGTAAAAAAAATGGGAATACAAAACGAAACCTAAAAAAATAGCACACTTGCATTCAACAGTTGGCAAAAATTAAATACAAGCATATAGTCACCCATTACCAATATGTTCCAAATCTTTCTTACTACAAATGGAAATAATGTAAATCACCTTACAGCAATAGATCTCACAAGAGTTTCATGCTAAAACAACACGAGTTTTAAGTACTGCAGGAGAAGAAAAATTACCCCATAGAAGGCATTAGGCCCTCCACTCGAATTCTTTAATCCGTAGTGACTCATAAAGTTGTCCACACAAGCATACACATCCTCCATTCTTGAACGAGACCCAATGTCTGTCCATGCTCCTGACCGAAGAATAGGAATGAAATCCAACTCATCATCATCCATACTCAGTCTTGGTTCAACAGAAATATCCAATATTTTGGTCTTCACCTGCTAAAGCACCGGTAAGAAACTTTATCACATACAAATAAAACACAAAAAAAAACTAATAAAAATTACACAAAATTCTAATATCTAGGAAAAAAGTGGTCAACACTTGCTTTCTGTATACCCAACTGGTCAATACAAGGAGGAAGATGAGGAAGAGGGGAGGGGAGGAATTCCTACTACGTACAATAAGGTATTCGCTAGTCTCTTCTCTATGCTCCTGAGCTATTTCAAGTACCAATACTAAAACCACATAGAAGAATACAACAGAACATCCAATGAAGCGTAGATTCAAATCAGAAAGGGCAAATCACTGGACCCATTAAAGCATCACTATAGTGTTACATAAAATACTTGAGGTTTAAGCTCACCAAAGACGGGTGTCGAACAAGAGACTGCATACAAGGCGCCGCTGCAACACGGCCTCTGCTTAAAGACTGCCGGTGCTCCGCCGCGAGTGGGTTGGGGGGCCGACCATCGCTCGAGCTCCCATTTTCTCCAACATTGTGAACTACTTTACTTCCCTCCATTGTCATTCTCAACCATCACTTCCTCCAATGTCAAAAAAACTAAAGCAATTGAATGAAATGGCAGCAGAAAAATAGGGGCTTTGAGTAATTTTTTTTGGTGTTCTAGGGTTTGCCAGAAATTGGGTATTTTAAAAATGAATGCTTTGATCTGAATTATAGAGCTTGTAGGTTTATAGACTAGGGGAACCAACAGTGTACGAATACAGGGAGGGAGGGAGGGAGGGAGGGAGAGAGAGAAAGAGGTCTTCGGCAAGTTTGGTGTGGGGGATCTCCTTCTGTGCTCTGGTTGAATACATTACAGGTTTCTACTGGTCGGTTTGAAAAACGGCGTCGTGCGGCTTGGAAGGGCCTCCATCTGTCTTCCTAATAAGTAACAAGTAATATATAACTTCTTTGCTGACGTCACATGTACTCATGAAAAATTGAATGAAATTTTCTGTAAATTAAAAAAAAATCAATTAGGTTAAGAAATTAGTATTAATATCTTCGTGTCATAAAGAAGCTGACCATTAAATATATACTAATGGTATTAGAACAAAATTTAAAGATTTAATACATTATTATTATCGGATTAATAATGTTAGGACCCAATAATAATTTAATATTAAAACCCACTAATAATTTAATAGTCAAGACACGGTTCATTATCAATTTTAGTATGGAATACACCGGCTAATTCTTTTTAGTTTATTTTCTCTTTAAGCAATTGTGTACATTCCCCTTCCCTTTTTTTTCACATGATTACATTCCACTTCCATGGATAGAGTACGTCGGGGTAAAGATGTGATTACTATGTAATTTTATTAAATTTATTTATTTATTAATAAAATTCATTTATTTAATGATTGGCATTGATTTGATGAACAAATTTAATAAGTTATTAAGTGTAATAATATCCAAGTAGTCCACAAAGTCAACAATCTCTTTCTTCGTGTAAGAATATAAATTCCTGACCTTGTATCTAGATTTGATTTATTTTAGTTGTTACACAAAAAATAATAAAATAAGATAAAATAAAATTATTTTTTGACATCATAATTATACCCTAGATCATTATAAGTGACAATTTATCATTACGATAAAAGGGTGAGGTTATTCTCACCTTATAAATTTTCATTTTCATTTTCATTGAAGGAATGTACAGAATAAAATTTGATAAATTTGATGAATGAAGAGTTAGTTTTTGAAAATTAAAAATTCTCTTTGATATGAAAGCAGTAGGGGGAATAACAGTAGGGTTGGAATTTCCCCTCAATGAGTTTTCTCACAAATTAGGTGTGTTTCTTGGTGTGTTCACTCTGTATGCAAAAAACCTTATTTATAAGGGAGGATTCAGCTAGCCGTTCAACTAGTCGTTACCATTCAGCAAAATATTATCAACTCTCCAATATTATCTCAACTCCACCAGTATTTCCTCAACCTTCTGCAGTTAAAGTAGATTAATTATATTCCAAGTACGATTAACTAGTCTTTCACTACTTGATAGGTCTTTCTAGTCAAGTCACTCATACTAACTAGAAAAGATCCAACTCAAGTATCCAATTATATCAATACAATATATGTATACATGCATCATTATAAAATAATTAATTAATATATAATAATTTGACAAAAAATACATTTATGATATATGTCATGAATGATGCAATATTTAACCAACGGATTAGAATTTTATATATTTCGAATTTGACCACCAACCGTGGCTTAATGAATATTGATGGATTTTAGCCACATATTCTAACATTTCCCACTTGGCTACAAGCCCGAGATATTCATTCATAACTTAAATCCATAGCAACGACATGTCGTTTAAATTCTTCGGTTCCAATAAGTTTTGTTAATGGGTCTGCAACCATATCTTTTGTATAAAGATAGTCAATAGTAACAAGTTATTTTTGTATTATATCACTTATATAGTGATATTGTAACTCAATAAACTTACCTTTAGACATGATTTTCCCATTATCACAACCTCATTATCACAAAAAATATGAATAGACATATTATTTACACAAATAAGCTTTAAATTAGTTAGAAACTTTTTTAACCATACGACTTCGGAGACAACCATACTACAAACAATATATTCATCATTCATAGTACTTTTAACTATGCAACCTTGCTTTTTACTAAACCATGAAATAACACCACCACAAAAACATATATATAACCTGTGATGGATTTTCTATCATCAATATCACCAGCAAAATCAACATCACAATAATCATTAACATTTTTATCATTAGCTTGATATGTTAAAGAAAAGTCTAATGTACTTTTTATGTATCTAAGTACACATTTCAAAGATAACCAATGAGGTATACCCGGATTATTTTGATATCGACTAATCAAACCAACAACATAGCGAAAGTTTGGTCTTGTACATAACATATAGCATACATTAGACTACCAACAACTTCCACATAGCGTTTAGATTTTATTTCTTGTATTTCCTCTTTAGTTTTAAGAGTCATATTCTTAGACAATTTTTTTCTTTTGTAAATGGGTGATTCAATAGGCTTACAAGAATCCATTTTAAATTTTTTTAAAATATTTTTAAATAAGATTTTTGAGATAAGCTTAATTTTTTTTGCTTTCTATCTCTACAAAATTTAATTCTAAATACATAATGTGCTTCACCCATATCTTGCATTTCAAACTTGGTGTTTAACCAATCTTTTAGTTCTAAGATTCTATTTATATCATTTTCAGCAAGTAAAATGTCATCCACATACAAGGAAAGAATAATACAATAACTCTCATTATTCCAAGTATATATACAATGATCATAGTTATTTGGAATAAAACCATAAGATATAATTGCATTATGAAAAGTATGATACCATTGCTTTAAGGATTGTTTAAACCATATAAGAATTTATTCAATTTATACACCTTATCTTTTTTACTTTCAACTTCATATCCTTGCGGTTAATTCATATGAATTTCTTCTTTAAGTTCACCATTAAGAAAAGCAGTCNATGTATACATGCATCATTATAAAATAATTAATTAATATATAATAATTTGACAAAAAATACATTNTTCTTTAAGTTCACCATTAAGAAAAGCAGTCTTAACATCTATTTGATGTAACTCTAGGTTTAAGTATGCAACCAAGGATACTAATATTCTTATTGAGGTAAACTTAGCTATGGGAGAAAATGTTTCCTCATAATCTATACCTTTCTTTTGTGTGTATCCCTTAGCCACTAGTCTAACTTTATATTTATCTATGGATCCATCCGATTTAAATTTCTTTTTAAGGATTCATTTACACCCAATTGCTTTTCTATCTATTGGTAAATCAACTAACTCTCAAACTTTATTTTTCTCTATAGATTATATTTCTTCTTTAATTTCTTCTCTCCATTTTAGATGATCAATTGAATTCATAGCATCATTAAAATTAATAGGATCATTTGAAATTTCTTCACTATTGAATGTATAATAATTTTTTAAGTAGCTAGGCAGATGTCTTTCCCTTTGTATTCTAGTTAAAGTATCTTTGGGTGGAGGCTCTTTTATTATTTACTCTTGTGATTGTTTATTTTCATTTTCTTTAGTAATTTCAAATAGTTCAACCATTTTTTCAATTTTATCTAAGTCATCTTCAAAAAAAAAATGCATCTCTACTTTCAATGACTCCCACTGATCCATCACTATGGTGAATTACAAATCTATAGCCAATAGAATTTTCACAATATCCAATAAAAGTACATTTTATTGATTAGGATCTAATTTCCCTCTATTAGGTCCTAAAATTTTAACATGAGCCGAACTATCCCAAACTTTTAAGTGAGAAAGACTTGGTTTTATTCCCTTACAAATTTCATATGGTATCATTCCTATTGTTCTAGAGGATACTCTATTAAGAATATAAATGGTGGTAGAAATAGTCTTGCCCCAAAATGTAATGCTTAAATGTGCATGATTAAGCATAGATTTAACCATGTCAAGAAGTGTTCTATTTCTCCTCTCGGCTACACCATGTTGTTGAGGTGTATAAGAAATTGTTAATTGATGTATTATTCCATTTTCTTGACGAAAAGATTCAAAAATTTCAATCATGTATTTACCACCTCAATGAGTCCTTAATATTTTAATTTTTCTACCGAGTTGATTTTCTACTTTCGGCTTAAATTTAATAAATCTTTGTAAGGCATCCGATCTATTCTTTAGTAAATATATATAATCATATCTTAAATAGTCATAGGTAAAAGTAATAAAATATTCCATACCACAATGGGTTTTAATATTTAGAGGACCACAAATATCTGAATGTATTAATTCTAGCAAATCTTTAGCTCTTTTTAATTTTCCAAATGACTTTCTAGTCATTTTTTCACTTATACAAGATTCACGTGGTTTCAAGTCAAGATCTAAATTTAGAATCAATCCAATGTTAGCCATCTTTTTCATTTTATTATAATTAATATGACTTAATCTCATGTGCCATAAAATAGAATCAACATTAATATCACAAGAGACAATGATATAAGCAAAAGAAGAATCAATTTTATTATTGTCACTAGCAACATTCAAACGGTAAAGACCATAAACTTTAGTCCCCCATGCAAGAATACGACCATGTTTATCAATAGAAACTTTAAAAGACCGAAAACGGACTTCAAAACCCTTATCATCTAATCGTGGCATAAACAAGAGATTGCGCCACATATTAGGTGCATAAAGTACATCAGTCAAGAGGAGGTTGTTTTGCCCGGGCAATGAAATTCTCACAGTGTCAATTCCAAGCACATCACAGTAAGTATTGTTTCACATGTATAAATTGTGGTCATCGGTTTTCACCTCCTTTATTTCAATAAAATTGTTTTTAGTCTTAGTCACATGTTGAGAAGAGGCAGAATCAATCCACAAAGCAAGAGATACATAGTCTGCAAGAAGCGACTCAGAAACCACACACATAATGTCTCTTGATCCTTTAAAATTTTGATTATTATTCTTTTGTGTGCAATTTCTTTTGTAATGACCCGAGTTGCCCACAGTTATAACAAGTACCTATTTGTTTTCCCTTAAAATTATTATATTTTTTGAACTTGTTATATTTCTTATTGTTCCTTTTAAAATGCTTGTCTTGTTTTGGCTTAAGAAAAGATGGAGTAGTTGACATATTATTAGATGGAACATCCGTGACAAATTAGAAAGATGAGGCACTAAAAACTAGGTTTGACACATTACTAGTTTTCTTTTTAGCTCTTTCTCTCGGCCTCAATGCCTAGCAACATA